TCCTTCTTCCGCTTAGTTGTTTGCCGCACCACTTACAATGTTTCGACTCGACATAGTTAGGTTGTGAAAAAAACACTCTTTCCCCCCATTGATTACATGCTTCTGTAATCGATGGAAACGGTCGTCTTGTTCCGTTCCTTTCCCAGTATTTAAGATATTTTTCATTATCAATATATCTGCTCATTCTTCTTCAGCCTCTCTTTCATTTTAAGCATAATCGTGCAATACTGTTCACACTCCTTTAACAAAAAAACATATTCCTAAATTAAACCATGCACAAGCAATACCCAATCTGTCATTATTACAAGTAATTCCGAATGTTGGAATAATAAAAATTTGTGGCGTTATATCTATTCTCAATCTTCTTTTATACACAATATTTTTCTTCGGTAGTTTCATTCCGGTTCAACCTCACTTTCAAGCCATTTTTTTAAGTTATCTTCGCAGAAGCTACGGTAAACACAACTGCTGCTTGCTCAAGCGGACAACCGTTACAACCGTAAAAATAAATTGCCATAGAATTTGCAACTTTTTCAACTGTCAGCTCCGATATTATCTTTTCAAAGTTCGTCATTTGTATCACTCCTTTGTGGCTCTTAATAAATGTTCAATTACGCAAATGCTCCAGCCATTACCGATTTGCTTATAGCTTTGTGAATCAGAACAAGGGAATTCTATCCATTCAGGGATCTGTTGCAATCTCGCACATTCTCTTACTGTCAACTTGCGTATGATATAATAATCGTCTACCAATTTAATCGGATAGGTTTTTCCTTTGATAATTATCTGTCCGTCAGCAACTTTATAAACTGTATAGGTCTTACCATCAGCACAGGATATTGCCTTTATCGGCTCTCCATCCTCATTCCACTCACACGGTGTGGCATATATATACTTTGCACAATACTGATAATACTGACAGGATGTCATACAACAATTCGACTTGTCCGACATATTTCTTCCTCGTCTTGTCTTACTGTTCGGCTGTGTCATATCAACACATTCCCCCGGAAGTATTTCGGCATAGCCTTTTTTGGTGGCTTCTTTAACAAGCATAGGCTCATCACAGGGAACTGCATAAAGTCCTGTTTTGCCACCCAAACCACCGCCACTTGCCGTGATATTTACCGATTTACCTTCAATTGAATACACTCTCATTGCCTGTGATGTTGATAATTCTCCATTAGGTCTCGGCAATGCTCCTACTCTGACAGGCTCTGCAACTGCATTTGCACCACCCTTGAACCCATCATTTTTAATAATCGTTGCTTCTCCGTACTTATAATATCCTGCCATCATTGTTGAAGCCTTGCCTTCGGTGGTGGTATTTATCGGAACAGGCTCTGCACACATATCCCCTTGATTCTTAATAAAATATTCTCTTGTTGTAGTTCTTGCACATAATGACATAACACAATGTGATTTATCACTCAAACCACATCCTGTCTCAAGAATATCTTTAAGCAAAATTCCTCTGTCTTCCGGCTGTTCTATCTGTACTTTGCTATATGTTCCGTCTGCTTCTCGTTTGCCCACCCAGTATAATCTTTGTCGATTCTGTGCGGATACCAATGCAGAATTAATACATATCGGCTCAAATCCGAATGTTTCTGTTATGCTTTCACGGATAGCCTTACTCATACTCTTGTTATTCTCATACAAAAAGTACTTCGGTTCTGCTTCTCTCAAGGCTCTGACATACTGTGAGAACAATTCCCATCCTAATCCGCTCGCCTCGGTTTCTCTGTTGTTCGTTTGAGCGATGCTCCAATATGTGCAAGGCGATCCACCGATCAGATAATCAACCTGTCCTTTATATTCAGTAAAATCTGCATCGAACACATCACCCTTCTCAATAATATCAGGGAAATTATGTGTGGCTGTCTGTATTGCATACTTGTCAATCTCATATGCGATATATTTATCAAATTCAATTCCTGCCTGTTTTAAAGCCATATAGCCACAGGCAATGCCATCAAAAAACACTTAATATCATCTTCCTGAACTCCCAAATCCGTTTATTCCTCTGTCCGTCTCTGCAAGTTCATCAACCTCAATCAGCTCAACTTCAGGTATCGGCAGAATAACTATCTGCGTGAGCTTGTCTCCCTTTGCGAAGTGATAAGCCTGATTGCCATTGTTATATATCTTAACCCCTATACTCCCATTGTAAGCAGCATCGATAACACCTTCATTAACCAAACTATACTTACAGTTCAGACCGCTTTTACTCTTTAAGAACCCCACATACCCTTCAGGGATCTGCATACATAACTTCGTATCAATAAATACCGATGACTTTCCTGCGATCGTAAAATCAACAGGAGAATATATATCAAATCCTGCATCGGTCTTATGTGCTTTGGTAGGAGTCTTAATGTCTCCTTTTTTTGAAATTTTTATTTGCATATTTCATGCTCCTTTCTCGCATATAATATTCAAGATTCATATTCTGTTCTTGCTTTTTCAGTTCCTCAAACTCTGCTTTCCATTTTTTGTATTTTTCACAAGTTGCGTGACAGGTCACAGACCTGTCAGGGCAATCTCTTGTGCAGCCGAATCCTTTATTATTCATCGGATTAAACGGTATTGTAGTTCTCATCATCCTCATCCTTATCGTCATAGAATTCCCACGGTAACGGAAGTTCCATCCATGCTACAGCACATCTTCCGCAAGCAGCATTGAACTTCCTGTCTTTCGGATAATACCTTGCCGTACATACCTTACCTTTTCTTGTAGTAATCAGGTATGATCCTTCTTTGGTAGGATGTATCTTCGGAAACGGTCTCCACTCATCCCTGTCATATATACCTTCGACTTCAACTTCAGCACCTATCCTTCCGTCTGAATAGAATTTAATACCGTAATCTTTATAAACAGCATCTTCAGCTTCACGGATAGATGTGTATCCTTCTGCAATCATTTCGCTATGTCTCTTGCAATATTCCATTGCCTTGACAATCTTGTCCGGTGGGCAATGCATCTTGTCACCTAATGTCTGTATAAAAGCAAGCATCATATATTTAACAGCTCTTGTGTAAGCTTCTCTCTGTATGTATTTGTTCTGTGCATTACACTTCATCTTCATTCGCTCCTACATACTCAAAGTCATCGATATCCCCAAGAACCTCGATAAAGTCTGATGAACCTGTGCAAAGTGCAATGTCTCCGACTTCGTGTTGAAGATCAATAAGATCCTGAAGTGTTTTTATTTCAACAATCCATACGGCATACACTTCCTGTACTACAGACTTGTCCGGCATCGTTCTCGGACAGCTGAAGTGTTCAACAAGCTGTGCATTCTTGCAAGGCTTTAAGTTGTTGTTGTGATTCATTATTTTGAATGTCATATTAACCTTCCTCTGCATACATTTCGTTTAACATAATCGCAATTCTGCATTCGTGATAGTTATCGCAACAAAAGTATGTTTCAAACTTACCCTTGGGTGCAGGATTACTGAAGACAAGGTGTACAGAAGATTCAGGTGTGATCCCATCGCAATAAATCTTCTGCTTGTCCTCTGAATGATAAAATGGGCAAAGTGCATGTGAACTCTGATATCGTTTCATTTTCTCGCATCCTCCTCTGCCCATTTCATTAATACAACTGTGTGATCGTGATAAGTGCTGTACTTCTGTGTATCTGCTATGTAATCTGATAATCTGTCAATAGTGAAATCTACATTAGGATAAGCCTTCTTCAGAATCTTGTACTGCTTGTCCGATAACTTTACATTTTGATGCGTTCCGTAGGTCTTAATGTTTTGAACAGAGTTTTGAACATTTTCCGCTTTTTCCTCTTCTTTAAACATAGGAGAGTTGAGAGAGAGAATATCTTTATCTTTATCTATATCTATATCTATATCTGTGTCTTGACAGGTTTGACTTGTCATTGACATGTCATTGACATTGTCATTGACATCCCCTGATTCAAGGCTTTTTTGTTTTGCTCTTCTTTTTTGTTGAGCTAATCTGTTATATTCTCTTATATCTTTCAGCTTGTCCGTATTCTGATATTTTTCCCAATTTGATATATGCCATATATTGTCAATGGTTTCTATCATTCCGAAATTCTCAAAAGTTTTAAGAGCAAGCTGAATAACAGGTAATGGTCTTCCGAACTCTGTTGAAAGCATATTGTCTGTGTATGGTATTTCTTTTGTGAAATAGATAAGACCTGAATCGTTTATATTTCCGGCAAGGCACAAAAGTTTCACCCATATAACAATGATACTGTCACCATCAGGCAGAGACTCAATCTGCCTGATTTTTCTGTTTTCAAATACATCAGATGCAAGCTTTATCCATTTAACTTCAGCCATACTTCTACCTCACTCAAAACGGCAGATTATCGTCATTGACTTCGCTGAAGTCTTCAGGAGTTGCATTTGTGTACGCACCTTCATTGTTTCCGCCTGAATTTCCGTTTTTGTTCTTACTCTCGCAGAAAGATACTTCCTCTGCGATAACTTCGTATGCTGTGCGTTTTTCGCCTGTTTTTTTATCATCGTATTTTCTTGTCTCAAGTCTTCCCTGAAGTGCAATCTTTGTACCCTTTGGAAAATATTTACATACAAGTTCTGCCGTATGCTTCCAAGCCACAACAGGTATAAAATCTACCTGTCTTTCCTCACCGTGTTTTGCGTAACTTCTTTCAACTGCAACAGTAAATCCTGTGACACTTATGCCGGATGATGTTGTACGCAGTTCAGGATCTCTTGCTACCCTTCCCAACAAAATAACATTGTTCATGAATTCAACTCCTTGTAAAATGAATATTTGCAATAGTGAACCGTCTTGCCGTATCTGTTTTTGCTTTTTACTTTTTCGATTCTGAATTCTTCTCCGTCTGCCCGCATTTCGCTGATGCGAGTTGCCAATTTAGTAATACCTAAATCGGCAAATGCATCAAAGGGAGTGATAGAACCGAAGTCAGCTATATAGTTACGAATTAACTGCTTCTGTGTCATTGTTAATTACCTCTCCGTTCTCATCGGTAGCAGGAGTAAACTCGACTTCTGTGTATGACTCTGTGTATTCAATATCGTTGTTTACTGTAGTACTCTGCGTTGATACCACTGCTTTTATTGCTTCATCCTGAACTACACCTCTTACGAAGTCAGACTTCAGCGGAGCATACTTCAGAACTCTCTTGAGAACTGTCTTTTTTGCCATTTCCTCAAAGTTTCTCTGCCACGGAGATACAGCTCTGTCAAAACTCTGTGAATACTTCTTTGCGTGATTACGGATATCATCCATGCTCATTACTTCAAAGCCATATCCGCCTGATTTTGTTTTAAACATTGCATAAACCTTGACAGGCTCACCTCTGTCTTTATCCGCAGGCTTATGAACAAGCTTCGGCTCAAGTCCGTATTCGCACACAAAATCATCATTTGCATATACAATCTGTGCCTGAACTAACTCAACTTCCCCGGAGCGATATGCAAGGTCAATCAGACCTTTATAGCCTATCTGAAACTGAACTTCCATCTTTCCGTGATTGTTGTAAGGGATGAGATAAGCCTGTCCGAGAGGAGTGTTAGGCTCAAGACCTAACTGTGCTGCAGCCATCATTGCTCCGAGAAAACTTGTAGGAGTACAGCTGCCGAGCTTTGCATTAGAAGAAAGTGCCGTGAGTGTCATGCGTGTAAATCTTTCAGGAGTAATTACGGAAGGAAGAGCCTTTGCGATCTGCGGTTCCATGCTCTTGATGAGTGTCTGTATGTTTTTCTTGTCATTATTCTTGGTAGTCATTGCTACCTGTTCACCGATTTTATTTGCCATTGTATTTACTTCCTTTCTTATTTAACTTCATTGATACGAAGTGTTCTTACTGTTGTTGTCTTGAGATACTTGCTGAAATCCATACCCTTGTTGTCAGCCATAAATGACTTGTTATCAAAGGACTCTCTTGTGGAACTGCCGTAGGTGACCTTGAACTTCTCGCTCTTACCTCTTCCTGCATCTGCCATGTACACTTTGATTTTATTTGCTGACTCATCCTGAAGCTTCTTGAGATCCTTAATCTGCTTACCGATGTTGTTGTATACAACAAGCTCATTCTCAACTGCGTTTAAGTCAATGTCATAATCATATGAATCAGGATAGATAGTGTTTATCGCATCGCTTGTACTTTGGCTTCCGTCAACTCCGGGAGCAGTTCCTGATTTTACATTGTCCCAAAAGAGTTCTTCAGCATACATAAGAGCATCGATCTCGCTCTGATCCCTTTCAAGCTCAAACCAAAAGAACTCACGGCAATTAACAAGTACAGCAAGATATGCTTTTTCAAGTTCCGTAACTGCAAGATAGTGAGTCATCTGACAGTACCATTCGTCAGGGAACTCACCGCCCTTTATCTTCTTCATCTTCGGAAAGCTGTTTGTTGTCTTGATTTCAAGAACTGCCTTCTCACCTACAACAAGTCTGTCAACATTCGCACAGGCAAAAGGATACTTGTCATTGACATATGTGAAGTTGCTCTTGCGTACCTTCTTGCCTGTCTCATCAACAAACATCTGTGCTACAAGTTCTTCAAGATAGCTGCCGACTTTTGTTACGATATTTCCTTCAAATGCAGGGATCATATTACTTTTTTCTGCCCAAAGTGCGTAGGCTGACTTGTACGGATTCATTCCCACAACTGCTCCGGCATCAGAACCACCTATGTAATTGTTGCGTATCGAAAGCCACTCTTCGTGACTCTCATATTTAAGTTTGTTTATCATTTCCATCACCTTTTCAAAAATTTTAATACTTTTTCAACTTTTTCAATTCTTCCGGGTAAACCGTAAAATAATCACTAAATACCTTTTCAACTTTTGTCTTCATAGACTTCTGCATTTCGGTTCGTTCCGCTTCAGAGAGATCCGACAGCGGAACTGTTCTTCCTTCATGCACTACATTGATTAATACTGTCATCTGATCACCTCTTACAAACTATGCGAATCAATGCTTGTCCGATTAAAACTTTTTAAGAGTATCTATCATCTTCTGATTCTCTACCTCACGAAGAATCTTCTTGTACTCTGTTGATGCAAAGTGCTTCTTCTGTTCAGGCTTTCTGAATCTCTTGAATATGTGTTCCTGCTCCCACTTAATAAGTTTGTCTTCGTTCCATATCATTAAGATAAGAAGAGTTGCAAGAGAAACATGAACCAAAACAACAGCAAACATTGTTATTAAATACATATCAATTCACCTCTCCGACATATTCGATTCCGCATACATCCTTATCGACATATGTGATAGTTTCTTTTGCTTCTCTGATTGCTTCTGTGATATCTTCAGCACAGGTCTGAACATAACCTCTCGTTACTCTGCCTGAACTGTGATAGATATCGAATAATAATTCTCTGTCCATTTCATTATCACCTTTTCAATTGTCTTTTTAATTAGCCATTTTGGCTATTTGTTGAGCAAAAAAAATTGCTGCCTGTTCTGACTTCGTGTTGATATGCAGAAAACTGCACAACTTCTCGATCTCTGATGCTTTGAACTCTCTGCGATTCTTGACCTTGTAGGAGAATGCCTGACGAGATATGCCAAGATAATCCGCACAATCTCCGAAGGTCTTACCTGATCCTCTTATACGACAAGTAAGCAATTCCGTGTTCGTCATTTGTTCACAACCTTTCTATTCTATTGTTTGAATTAGCCATTTTGGCTAATCTGTAAGTACAATATACCACCACTTAAACATATTGTCAATACTTTTTTTGACATTATGACAAAAAAAGTTGACACAACGGCTAATAGGTGCTATTATGTATATGCTACAATATTTAAAGGATGTGATGGATATGACAATGTATCAAAGAATTAAAGCATTGCGAGAGCAACAAGGCATGACTCAACAACAGCTTGCAGAGAAGATAGGTTTCAAAACCGCTTCTGCAATCAATAAGATTGAATTAGGTCTTCGTGATATCAACCAAACAAAAATCGTAAAGATCGCAGAAGCTCTGAATGTCTCTCCGGCATATTTAATGTCTGGTGCTGAAGATGACGATTCGGCAAAAGCAAGACTCAAGAATCTTGTGGATGCGATGACAGAACAAGAAGCAGCTGCTTGGCTCTCTCTGTTGGAAGCAAGACTAAATAATCATTAAGCGATTCAAATATTAAATTCAGGTCTTCAGCATTTGCGTGTTCTATTATAGTGTATAGTATATCTTTATCACTCACTATTAATCCTCCCCTATAGAACATTTGTTCTGTTTTCTTGTTAATATTACAACATTAAAAAATCAAAGTCAAATTTCTATGTCCTTTTTATTGGACATAGATTTTGACATGATTTTTAATTACAAGAATATAATACCATATAACACCATATTGTCAATAAATAACATACATTTTAACAATCTTCTGCATTATACACCACAAGTGTTTAATTATTATAATTCAAAAGGAAGTGATACTATTGAATGAATTGTTTCCTGCCGAACAGACTGCAGCTGCTTATATCCGTGTATCAACTGCAAGACAGGATGAGTATTCCCCGGACTCACAGTTGAAGTTAATCAAGGATTACGCACAGAAAAACGGACTGATCATCCCTGATGAATTCATCTTCTTTGATGACGGAATAAGCGGAAGCAAAGCAGAAAAGAGACCTGAATTTATTAAAATGATCGGTCTTGCAAAAGATAACAGTTCACCGTTCAAAACAATTTTGGTGTGGAAATTCAGCCGATTTGCTCGCAATCAGGAAGAGAGTATCGTATATAAGAAGATGCTCAAGAGGAATGGTATTCAGGTTATCTCAATATCCGAACCTATTACCGATGACCCTTTCGGATCTCTCATCGAGAGAATAATAGAATGGATGGATGAATATTATCTTATCAGATTATCTCCTGAAGTTAAACGAGGACAGCTTGAGAAACTGTCACGAGGAGAACCTGTGCAGTATGCACCAATCGGTTATCTATACAATAAGGATCAGAAAAAGTTTTTACCTGATCCACAATACGCAGATATAATCAGGATGATATATGAACAGTATACTGAAGGAATTCCTATGCGTAAGATAGCTATGGATCTCAATAATGCAGGAATACGAACTCAAAAAGGTAATGTGTTCAACAGCAGAGAGATAGAGTATATTATTTCTAATCCGATATATGTCGGTAAGCTTCGCAGATCGCTTGACGGTAAAAAGAAAAGAACACAGATAAAAGTCCAATCAGGTTACAATTATTATGACGGAAACCACGAAGCTATCATCTCTGAAGACCTGTGGCTAAAAGCACAACAGAGATCTGAAGAACTTGCCAAAAGAGAAGTCTCCGCAAGGCGAGGAGCAACAGCCAATTATATGCTGAAAGGACTCGTCAAGTGTTCCTGCTGTGGTGGCAACCTGATAGGATCATCACGAACAGGTATGCAATGCTCAAATTACAACAAAGCAACTTGCAATGAGTCACACTTCATTTATCGTGACAAGCTGAATGAAGCTGTCATAGAAGCTATAAAGACCTATGCTATCAACGATGAATTGCAGATCAACATAAAACAAAAGCCTAAAGATACAACAACAATCGATTACAATAAGCTCATTGCTGAAGCTAAAACAAAGCTCACTCGACTGACACAAGCATACATAGACGGATTATACTCCATTGAAGAACTCAAGCCATTTAAGGAAAAAATCGAAAACGAAATAGCAACATATGAAGCAGAACTCAATAAGCCTGTCATCAATGATATTGATATGTCAGCCTTTCGTAACTCTCTCATCTCCCTTGTACAAATCCTCGAATCCGAAGTTTCCGAAACAATAAAAAATGAAGCTCTGCGATCTATCATAGACTCAATAATCTTCGACCGCAAAGCCTCAAAATTAACTATCAACTTTTTTTATTAATCTTCTATCATCTCTTCAAACGATTCGCACCTACGAATTGCTTGGGGAGATGATACTTTTTTAAGGATCTACAAATGCGTTCTTAAATCCTGCCTTAATAAGATCCTTCTTATAAGCAGTTGCATTTGCCTGACTCTTAAATGCACCAACCTGAACTCTATAAATTCCATTGTCGTAGAATCTTATAGCATTAAAACCTTTTGCTTTCGCAAGTAACACATAAGCATCAGCATTTACTTTCGACTTGAATGCCCCTATTTGCACTCTGTAGATTTGTGACTTCTTGTCAGACATTGCTTCACTTACATCCTTGCGGAATCCATCCATTGTATAAGACATCTTTAAGCCTTTCCACAAATGTTCAGGATCAATATGACAAGAACCTATGCCCTGCTTTCCTGCTTCATTATGAGATATTATTACACCGCTTTTTATGGGATTAAAGCCATATTTCTTGCAGAGATACGCAAAGTATTCCACAGCAGTATTATATGCTATCTTACAAGCCTTCTGTGCTGCCGGTAAATCTTTATCAGCTACAGTAAAAGCGGAACCGTACTTGTTATAAACAAGTTGCTTCGGCTCACACATTTCAAAACCAAGATGTGTTTTATTTGCAGATCCGCCTACATGCCATCCATTTATGTTCTGCGGAAGTGTCTCAACTACATAACCTTCCTTATCGGCATCAATAAAGCCATGCATAGATAAATCAATACTTGCATTATAAAGCTTCTGAAAGACTTCAGCAGAAGGCTGCGGACAAGCAACAGAATGAAGTACAAGTCCTTTTGGAGTCATCTTCTGATTTGCTTTATAACACTTACTCTTCGTCATATACTTCTGTACTATCTGCATCTGCTTCATCTCCTTCCCTTTTGCTGTCGATTAAAGCTTCACCGAATATGTAAGCAACTACGGCAGCACCTGACATAATGATGGCTGTTATCTGCATTGTAATCTCCTCCGATACCCCAAATGCAAGTAACAAAGGAGTAACAAAGCCTATAACCAATGCCCAAAACTTTCTGCTTGTGAGTTTCTGTTTCCAATCAACTTTCATTTTCATCATCCTTTCTGTTAAATACTGCATTATTAAGAACCTTAATCTGCTGTTCAGCCTTAATAAGTCTGTCAGACAAATTACGCAAGTCTGCTTTAACACCACGGATGTCTGTTTTTATTTCCCCGGTGTCTTTCGATATATTTTCAAGCTTAACAATAACTGTTGTAAGCTGTGCAGTATCATTGGCTGTGTCACTCTTATTATTCCTTTTCATATTCGATACTCCCTGATATATTGCAAAGGCAAGAGATATAGCAGCAATAACTATTGATACTTCTATCGTCACAGGAGTTTCCTCCTTTCTTGTTACTATAATTCAACATAATAATACATTAAAAACAGGGATGAATTAATCCACCCCTGTCCATAATTATTTCTTATTGGATTGTTTGATCCAATCTTGACAGGCTTTTGTTACATCGTCTGTCTTACCATAACAACCTGTCATCAGCATATACTTACGGATCTCTGCCATCTTTGCATTATCCTTATTCTTATATGCTTCAATGTATATGTCTTTAAGGTAATCTGTCAAACCTCTTCTAACTGATGATTTTGCTTCTTTCTCTGTTTTGCCGGAAGCAATCTTGTCATCAATCTTGCTCTGTATGATTTCCTTTGATTTCTGAAGATTGCCTTCAGAATAATAGGTGTATGCCTTGTCGATATCTTGAGCATTCGTTCTTTCGACTCCTGCTTCAAAAGATCCGAACTCACCATTTTTTATATCGTTGAGATGATATCTGACACCGTTGACAATGTTTACAATGTTGTGTCCGGGAATACCCATGTAAGTTGCAACTTCAGCTATAAGATTGATAATGTTATCAATAGAAGGATCTTTCTTCAGCTTTGCAAAAGTATTAATAGATGTACTAATCTTATCAACTGTAGCATCTGACAGTACATCATATGTACTTCCTTCAATTATTCTTTCTGCAATTGATACAGCATAGTTAGCGAACACAGGAACTATTGCGTTAAAGAAATTCTTACCATACTGTTTACCGAACTCCTCAAGAATAGATTCAATTGTCAATTCCTCGTTATCATCTCTGTAAGAATCCATCTTATGAAGAATTGCAGCGGAGAACAAAGTCATCATTGTAAAGGTAAGATGTGAAGCTACCTGTGAAGTTACAGCCATTCGATACGATTTGAGTGCCTGTTTCGTTTTTGCATCTTTGCTTCCGTAAGCCTTCTTCATATCTTTGTATCTCATAGCACCTTCACGAAGAATACCGGAGTTCTGAATAGGCTGTGTTTGGAAAAGAATAATATTGGAAAGAGCTTTATTTTTTGTTATCTCTGCTCGGTGTAAAGAATCATACATAGGCTGTGTATCTTCTATGACTCTGTTGTAGATATCCGTAACAACATCCCAATAGTCTGCATCGGAAGGCATTGTTCCTTGCTTTTCTGCTTCAGCCTTACTTGCTTCCCAAAGAGCAGCAGTTGTTGCAACATCCATTGCCTGAATCCAATTCATCGGTGATGCTTTACCCAACTTACTGTTGATTGTATTCAGCCATCCTTTAGTCTGATTAAGTTCACCAAGCTCCTGCATTGATAAGCCTTGTCTTCTCATATAGTGTTGAGAAGTATGCTCATCGATTTCCTGCCATACATCGGAAGATTTCCTTGCTACATATCTTGCAAGACCTTTGGTCAATGAAGTGCTTGAAAGAACTGCTCCGGCTGTAGGATATGATGCAGCCTGTTTCATCCATACGGATATGTTTGCTGCAAGTGTTGAAGTCACAAATCCTGACTTTACAAATGATAAAAACTTTGAAGTATCATATCTGCGAGGACTCTGAAGATTTGCTACTGCCTGATCAACAATCTTCACACCGCCATCCTTCCAAACATCTCTGATAGCTCTCTGCACAGAAACTCCACCGTCAGCAACTGTCTGTTGCATATTGAATACTTTGTTGAAATTACGAACAGGAATTGCAAGACCGTATATTTTTGCCACTTTATCAATATGGTCTGCAACAAGTTCATTCAATGATTTAATAAGAAGCTGCTGTGTAGCATTTTTCTGCATTGACTTCAGGATGCCTGTGCCTTCAATCGTTGCATCGAACTTAACATTTTCAGATTCTTTCTTGATATAGTCTGTGTCTACAAGATAAGGTATGTACTCTTTCTCTGTGGCAATTGGTCTATGTTTAATGACCATAGAAACCTCATTGATGGCTTTCTGTGAATCGTCATTAAAGAACTCTTTTGCAGTTTGTATGTACTGTTTATCCCACTCATTCAGCTGACTATTAATCTTGGTAATCAGGTCATCGGTAACAAGAAGCTGTCTGCCTTTGTCTTTAGCTTGTGCGTATTTACCTTTGCGTTCAAGCTCTGCATCCGGGATTAACACAGGTGTAACAAGGTGCTTTCTGTCTTTGTTTGCTTTTTCTCTATCATAGGTAAGCAGAATAGTCATTGCTTGCATCTTTGTTATTTTCATAGGATCACCGTCAATGTCAAGCAAGCCTAAATCAATCTTATCCTGAACAGCAGCATTAAACTTCTTTGCATCCTCTTTTGATGTTCTCAATGCATCAAACTTCTTCTGCATCTTCATCCTGAAATCATCAGCTTTTCTTCTGCCCTTGTTTAATTCATCGAAGATCTTCGTGAGTCTCGCATTCGGATCATAGCCTGTCATCTCTCTTACTGCTCTCATCGGATTCTCTGTCCAATTTCTGAAGAAGTCAGATACGGCATTCGTTGTCTGTTTGCGTGATTTCACTTTACGCATATTCTCAATGACTTCCTGTCCTGCTTCATAGTTACTGATTGCTTCATCAATTCCTATCTGCTTTGTAGCATCATTAAGCATATTGCGAATGTCATGAACTATTGTGTACACATCTTCTAACTGCTCTCTGCTCATGTCACGGAGAGGAGTATCACCGACAGCATCGGCAAAGTCACCTATTAAATTTGAGAAGTCTCTGTCGAACTCATAAGAGAAGTCATAGTCATTGAAGTTCTCAAGCTTATCATATGCCATTTTTAATTCAGCAAGAGCAGCTCTGCCTGATTTCCATTTCTGTGCAGCCTTTGTATTCTGATCCTTACCTGTAGGATCTATACTGTCACATACCTGAATAACAGATTCTACAAGCTGTCTCGGAACATATCTTCTCTCTGTACCATTAAGAAGTCTGTTCTCAAGGTCACTCGCAATCTTCTTTATCTTATTGCGAACTTCTGTGGTCTTCCTCTGATCAATCTTCTGTCTGTTCTTCTCTTTCAGATTCTGAATTGCATCCGTTCTCTTCTGCTTCTCTTCAGCTAAAGCCTGTTTGTACTTTGCTTTTTCTCTCTTGATAACCTTGTCCTTTTCTCTTGTGAGGATATCCTGTAAAGGCTTACTTGCTTCAAGCTTCAATAACTTCTTATCGTATATGTTTATACGATTCTTTGTTTTTGTTATCTCATTCTGAAGCTTTGTTATTTTCGCTTTGTCTCTCTTACCCTTGCTGAAAGAAATCTGTTTCATTTCTGCAGTAAGTGTACGAAGCTTATCTTCCTCGGCATTCATCTTATCGATATTTGCCTGATAATCTTCAAGGATCTGTGCTTCCGCAGGATTCTGCGTAATAGATGAGAAGGCATTTGCAAGAAGGCTTCTGTTGTCTGTGAGTGCGGATCTGTCGGAGTATCTGATTTCCGCATCCTTGCTTCCGTAAGAATTGATAATATTATCCCTGTTTGCTTTGTTTAACGGAATAACATTATTGAGAATAGCAGATTGTCCTGTTCCTCTCTGATTGAATACCTTTATCGAATCGATAATCTCAAGAGGATTTCCGTATCCGTTTAATTCCTTAATAAGATAACCATCCGAATCCCTGAACTGAACCTTTATTTCCGCAGATGTAATTCCTGCTTTTTCCAAAGCTCTCATTCTGTGTCTGCCTTCGTGACCGACAACTTCACCTGTGTCGACATTGATGGCAATGTAAGGTGTTTGCCTTTTCTCTTGCTTCAAAGCTTCGATATAGTCATAGTCATTAACAGTTGAACCGTATTCACCGGGCATGGTATCAAATCTATCTCTGTCTTGATTTGCTAATCCCAAAGTAAGATTGAGGAAGTCTGACGGATTAATCGAAGTGATCCATGATTGTGCATAGTCTTTACGCATTCCTGCACCACTATCATCAATAAGATAGTCAATGCGTTCTTCTGTCATTGATGCATCTCGTTCAGAAAATTTTGATTTACCATTATTTTCCTGTTGACTATCTTTGCTATTTGTGGTAACATTATTTACAGAAGCAATCTTGTCATAGCCGGCAACAATTGGTGTTGTCCGCTCACCGACTTGATTGTTTCTTTTTTTTATTCTTACAAGATTACCATTTGCAATTTCTCTGTTGATATAATTGTATATATCACTTCTTCCAAATACTGTAGCAATCTTATTAGTTCCTATCATCACTTTATTATACTGACCATATTCATTGATATATATAGGAATATTTATAATGTTTCCATCTGCATCTTTATATTTTGATATTAATAGGAAATAGTTTTCTCTTCTGCTTGGATTATCTGCATTTTTCGTTCCTCGGTAACCATAATCAATATCATCTAATCCATCAATTATTTTCAAAAATAGTTCTTCGCCTAAACCATGATAATTGATACTATTGTTGATTTTTAATCCTCTTTTTTTTGCTTCTTCAATTGTTAATATATTTTCACGAATATGAGAAGCTTTCATTAGCATAGGTAAATCTCTTACACCTTTTTGAGATATTAATATTGATGGACTATTTTCCGTAAGATAAACATCATCTCTGTAATATTTGTTTGCAATAACTTTTTTTACATCTTCATAAGCACTATCTCGCAAACTATATATTCTTTTGCCGTCATAATCAGATGTGTTTATTATACTTTCACCATTTGAAAGTTTTCTCTTACCGCCAATTAAGTCATCCGCAATCTTATCAAGTCTGTTATCAAGCTGCATATTGTAGCTGTTCTGCCACATCATGTAATCATCAATGATACCCTGATAACCTGTCATACCATCCTTGCCGGAAACATACTCCTTGTTTGCAATATTAACAGGCTTACCATTACTGTCAGGATAGATATTCTGCACTTCCATCTGTGGTGCATACTCACCTGTGATATTATCGTACACATTGAAATCATACAATACTTTGTAGTAATTGTCGTGATCAGCAAATTCATAAAAGACAGGAAGTGTTCCGTTTCCTGCACACCAATCAAAGAAATTTTCCGCTGTTGTGCGAGGATCTTGAGACTCATCAAGATTTTCATACAGTTTAAAACTGCCGTGACCGTTCTGTGCTTTCTTTGTCTTTATCTGCCAACCATCATTGCGAACATGCTCATTAAGTTCAGATAATACAGCCTTACCGCTTCCAAGTCTCTTGTAAGCCTTTTTAATGCTGTAATCAACAGGATTTTTATCTCTGTCAAGTATAGACTCTATCTTTGTTGTATTCTGAACAGAAGTATAGTCTTTTGCCATATTCAGATTAGTTGCTGTTTTTATTTCGGCAGGAAGCGATGATGAATGGTAAGGAATAATATATCTTATTCTGTCATCGTTCAGCATTGCCTGAATATGTTTTGCCGAATAGCCTACACCAATGATGCCCAAATTCGATGAATATCCGGGAGTTGTCTGAAGATTAACAGCATCTGCAAAGCCTATGCTCTGCAGGAATCTTTTAGCCACATTCAAACCTTTAGATTTGTAGTAATTGTCATAGGCTTTCTGTGTTGCATAGTCACCTATGTTATATACCCAATCGCCTTGCTCATCCGACAGAACTATCTTCGCATACTCACCCTTATGAATTTCAGGATTATACTTTGTGAGTCCTGCGTGTTCCTTATCGACTTCAAGATCAATATCGAACATGACCGAAAGATTTCCTTTAATTCCTGTCATACCAAGAAGTTTTGCAAAGGATATCTCTTTTGTGTATGCGTGAGCAGGAAGTCTTCTTGCTGTAAGATCCGCAACTATCTGAAGATAGTCATAGATATTCTGTATCTGAAAATCAGAGAATGATTGTATTCTTACTCCTGCTATCGACTTGAGATATTCTGTTAAGCTCTGCTTACCTTTGTTTTCAGGAAGTAAAGCTATCTCTGAATTGTAAGGAGTAAAGCCTTGTACAAGCTTCGGTGTGCCTGAACCATAATGACCATATAAAACCCCATGGAAATTAGGTAACTGCTCAAGCTGTCTTATACCTTCTTTTGTAAGAAGGTCTGAAGGTTTCAACAAATGCTGATATACAGAACTGCTGTTAACAAGAGAAGTTACTCTCTGTACATTATCAACATTCTTGCTGAATATTCCTGCATCTATAAGAATATCGAGTTCTTCGACAGAAAGGTCATTCGGATTTTTTGAAAGGAAATAGTTCTTCTCATCCGAAGTCAGATCCAATGATTGATCTATCTTCTTTTTTTGTCCTTCTGTGTATCCCTTGCGTTTTCCTTCTTTGTCCTTAAAGATCAGCTCTCCGTTTTCTCTCATCTGTCTGTACTTTGCTTTTGCGTTTGCTTTTGATTTTGCTCCGTTTGCGTTTGCAAACTTCTCAAGTGAATTATCAAGAGAGATAACATCTTCTATTGACATATTGTCGAAGTCAACATCACCCTGTGAAAAATTAAAATATGTTGCTTCAGGATTAACTTTAAGAACTGCTGCATTATATTTATCTATAAAAGTGCTTGCCCATTTTCGTATATTGTATCTCTTTGACTCAACGAAACATCCAAGACAAGCTGTCTCAAAGCCTTCGTTTTTCAGTGCAGTATTTATCTTAAAGATCATCTTCTGTGTAAGCTTAACAGTATCACTATCAATTACACCTTTTTTTGAAAGCTTTTCGATGAGTTCTGACATAGCAGCTCTCTTTTTACAGATGGATGTAAGGTCAAAGTTAACAGGATAGTCACCGTTTTTAATCATAGCGGAAAGAACTATTGCTTTAATTGATCCATCCTTGTTGTACTGATAATGAAGCTTCGCATCTTCTACATCTTTGAGTCCGATAAATCTGTATCTTACTCCTGCATCATCCATGAACTTTGCCATATCAGACATAAACTTCTGCACATTGCTTATCTGTTTTGTTGTGAATCCGTTTTTATTCATTGCGTATTCACGAATCTGTGCAACAGTATATGCATCTACTGTTTTACCGGGAACTTTACCCTCGGTTTTTAATGCAGTAATACTACCAAGCATACCGCTTGTGATGATTTTGTTTTCACCACCTGTGACAGACATCATCATTTTCGGCAGAGCTTCTCTCTCTGTGCTTGTACTCTGCTTAACACCTGTTATCGAGGAAACAGGCAGAGCAGTTGCATCCTTCACAACAAATCCATCCTGTGATCCTGTCAGAGTATCTGTGCTGAACTGATTGCGTGTTGCTTCATATTCAGAAGTTTCTGAATTATTTTCATTAAACATATTGCTTTTTTTTGTATTAGATGTTATATTATTAATGACAGAGGTATGCTGCCTGGATGTTCGGCTATTTGCCGGGCTACTAAGAGATGCCTCTGTTATTTTTTTTGTCTTTATATTTGATAAATCATAAAGTGTAGCAGAACCATCAGTACCATTTATTCCTATAATAACATCCGCAACATAACCATTGTTTCCAACTTTATAATATATCAACCCTCTTCCGTATTGATCAAATTTACTATCATCTCTTTTTCTCTCATTAATCCAATCCTTTGCTGCTGTAATAATCTCATCAGCATTTGCTATTGCTTTCATCTTATCAATATAACCTATATAATTATCACTTAAAAGATGTCTTGCAGAATTCGACAATCTCCATTCACGATTAGTTTTACTGTTTATACGGAATAATTGTCCGTTTGCTGAAATGATATTATTATATTGTTTACTTATTATTTCTGATATATTTGATGCAATACTTCGTCCATTATTAAGATCAATGGCATTTTCATCAATCTCAACATAAACATCACCATCAGCACTTAACTTAATAGAATATTTCTTGTCATCACCTATCGAGACATTTTTATTATTGCTATTGTTCATTGCTTCAGCGATATTTTTGTTGGAATCTGTAAAGGCATCCGCATACAGACTACGGATCTTATCATACATATCTTGTGCCTGTGCAATAGCCTTTCCTGCTTCGGTTTCAGGTGAAACACCTTCATATGACTTCAGGACATTGCCTAACTTATTTACAAAGTCCTTGAAGAAGTCCTTAATCCTCTGCCACAATGATTTATCCTGCTGCTTGATGTTATCCATTATCTCTTTGAATGTCTGTTCATCTGCCATCAATTTCTCAAAAGAATCGGATACTACATCTTCGTAAGCCATATCTTCAAGTTGCTCATCGGTATAGTTGTAGTTCTCGTTTCCTGCTTCACGGAGTCTCTTGTACATAGCAAGCTTATCAGCCACCATTTCTTCAAAGGTGGGAGTATTGCTGTCCATCTCTGCCTGATTGTCAATTGCTTCGACAACAGTATCAGCAAGAGTCTGCCATTTTGCAGTTGACCATTCCCTGATTGCGTGACCGATTTCATGCGACAATGTGAAAAGACCAAGTCCTTCACTATTGTTTCCGGCATTCAGGTCAATATATATTGCGTTGCTGCCTTCGACATACCAACCATTTGCACCAGATTCGACTTCAACACCATTTATGTTATTATAAATCTTTCCGTTTTTACGGTAGGATTCAAAGAGATAAACATCGAGATTACTTATCTTTGCTATTGCATCAGCCACAGATTTAACCGTTTTTTGCTTCGGTGTAAGCTGCTTCTCATCAACTTCATTAACAAGAATTGCTTTGTTGCTCTTCTTTGTAACCTTGACATCAGGCTTCTGCCTGTTCTGTGATTCTGCCTTTGCATTATCTCTTCCGACAACAAAGAGAGTATTCTTGACATTGTCAGGTATGTTAGTAAGATCCGCAAGTCTCTTACTCTGATTTGTTTTACCGTACTGATACGCATACATGGACTCATCCACAAAAGTATCAGCAGGAATATTACTGTTCTTGTATGCGTTGATAACAGTATTTGCAACACCGGGATTACCTACCATTTTCGGTATTGTCTCATAAACGAGAGCTTCAGATGCTGACGAGTACAACACATCAGCAGAATTTACTGTAGCACCATTATCAAGTTCTACATTGAAACTGCCATCCTTGTTAACGGCAGTAACTTTATTGATGCTTGCTTCCTGTGTATTTCCATCAACAACAACTTCAGTATTACCGCTATCGGATATTTTGCTTGTATCAACTGCTGTTGATTTTCTGACAGGTATATCCGTTGCTCTGTTTCTTCTTACATCTGTTGTATTGCTGTCAATGTTAGTTATCTTCTTCTGATTGTTATAAAAGTCAACCACATTGCTTGTAACTTTCGGTGCAACATAAGGATTATTTTTGATATTGCTTCTGCTGAAATCACCAACTTCACCTGTGAAGCCATCAGTTGACATACCCTGTGCAATTTCAGATTGTACCTGTTTGCCGTATGTGGAATTCTTGAGAGCATTCTTTTCTGCTCTTGTAAGTTTAACATCGGTGATATCTCCTCTGAATACATCAGAAGCAACTGCTGTCTGCTCAATAGCAATTGCCTTTGCTACGGCAGATGCTACGGTATCAATGTTTTCTGTCTCTCCAAGTTGAGTGAGTCTGTTCTTTGCTTTCTCTTTATTTGTGCTTATGTCTTCTGCAATGTTGAAATTCTCATTAGCCTTTGCAAGATTACCAAGTTGAAGTCCTGAGAGCTTCTTTCCGTCATTCATTTTGCTCTGATACTTCTGTGCAAGTTTGTATGCTTCGCTCTGTGCATCTGTCTCAAGACCTGATTCAATAAGCTCTGCTTCAGAACCTCTGTATAAATCGTTGTATGCTCTATTCTGACTTACTGCATTAGATACACTTGTCACAACATTGGAAGGAGCTGCTGTTAATGCACCCAAAACTCCTGAATAGATAGCTTCTTCCCAATTGATGCTTTCAGGATCTTCACCTGTTGCTATTGCCTTAAAATATGGAGTAAGAACTTCCTGCAAGAATTCTTCTGTTCCTTCGGCAAACATATTGCCACCGATTTTAACCGCTGTCTTAAAGAAAGCATTATTAATTATTTGTGCAATCTTTTCAAGTCCCTTATCGGTAAGCACATTACCGACTCCGGGAATACCGCCTATAATCTCCTGAAGTGCAGCTTCCGAAGCACCTGTCAAAATTGCATATGTTCTTGCTTGTCCTTTGTCGTAACCAAGATTAAGCATTTCCTGATATGCGTTACCCCCGGCAGAAGCACCCATAAGTCCTGCACCAACCGTAGCACCTAATGTAGGATTTAAGGCTGATACAACAACAGATGCAGCAATGGAAGGTATCATATTGCTTCCTGTCGTAACAAAGTCATATGCTGCCTGTCCAAGTGAAGCTCCGCCCATCCAATCAGGAAGAGCAAATCCGTCATCCGCAAGATCCTCTCTTATCTGACCTGACAATGTCTGCTTAATTGAAGCAGGAATATAATCCCTGTCTGAAAACAGATTGTCTATACCTGACTTGAACTGATCAAGTCCTGCAGCAACACCGAATGCAAGTTCATATGCTGTGTTGCCTTCATATTTCGGAAATTCCGATTCAGCCTGTCGCTGTGTGAGTCTTTCCTCTATTGAGTCAAGATATTTATCAGCAGCCTGTCTTCCGTCTTTGGCAAGATAATAGTTATAGATATCGACTTCCGTATCGTTCATCGCCTTGATGCGTTTCTTCCAATCGATATCATTGTATTTATCTAATCCTGCGATTTCAACAACACCACTGTCAATACCATTGTCTGCGTTCTCTCTGATGAATGTAACAGGATTTTCTACCTTGCTTCCATACACACCCATTCTCGGCACATTATATGCCTGTGATAAGTCAGGATTCTGTACGGCAGCACCCTTGTCAGCAAAGCCTTTGAAAGTCACTGTTCCTGCTACCTTCTCAAGCTTTTCAGCACCTTTCTTGTAACGATTCTGCTTCAACCAATGCTTCTCATCCTCAAGCTCTGCTATCTGCGAATCATACTTCTTAAGATCCGACATGACATCATTATTACCCTGATAAGAAGCAATCTTCTTATTGCGGATATCGTTTATCTGATTGTCAATATCAGCAATGTTGCTATCAATATCTTCAAGAGTCATCGAGTTGAGTTTAACGGCTCTGTCATAATCTTTGATAGCCTGATTGTATGATTCTTCAGAATCGAACTGCGAGAAGAAGTTATTCTTATCTTTGTATGAATTCAGAATAGCCTTTGATGAGTTGTTGACATCATCAAGATATGCAATCAGCTTCTTATTGTCAGCAGTATCTCCCTGTGACTTTATATAAGATTTCATCTTGTTTGCTTCATCGCTTATATTAGTCCAATCTTTAACAGCTCTCTCATATCTTGAAGCATTGTTACTGTATGTCAGCGAATCAAAGTCTGTCTGATAACCTTTCAGCTTGTTCTGATACCTATTCATAAAAGAGTTGAGAGCATCCTGCGACAAGGTATAACTACTCTCATTCTGTTGCTTAGACATGTAGCTTGAAGGCATTGACTGGTTAACATAAGGATTTTTGCTGTACTGATTATTAGGATCATATGTATCAGATACATTACCCGGCTTAATATATCTGTACTGTTTTTTCTGTGCCATATTACTCTCCTTAATCTATTTTGAAATATCCTTTAAGATAAGCAACTTCTGCTTCAGTAAGCTTATTCTGCTTATACCAATATTTGATTGTTTCGTCGACATAATCAGCGTAGTTATCCCACCTGTTACCGAATCTGCTAATCTGATATTCAGGCATTAAAGTTGCCATGAAAGTCTTTGTGTTTCTGCTGGTGGCTGCTTTTTGAAGTTCCTCATCAGTGTACTGTGGATTATCAACCTTGACCTTGCCACCGCCACCGCCACCGCCACTGCCACCACCTGATCCTGACTTTCGTGCGTTATACCAAGCAATAGCTTCCTGTGCCTTATTTGCTCTTACCTGTTCTGCAAGTTGTGCTTGCTGTAAAGCATAGCTACGATTATCCGCAAAAGCAGAATACTCCTGATTGTAAAGATTGTTGTAAGCATCAGAATAATACTGCCTGTTCGTATTGAACTGTGTCTGCTCATTACTTCTCTCATTGTTGTAAATGTTGTATGCTCTTTCAAAATCCGTATTCCAATCACCGACTTTATCACGATACTGACCGTATTCGGAATTGTACATATCACTTGCAATGCCAAATCTGTTTGCGAGATCCTGACCTTCCTGATTATATGAATCAAGTGCAAGCTGATACAGTTCAGGTACTCTGTTATTAAGTTCCTGTAGATATCCCTGATAAGTCTGCTGACCAACTGATTGAGCATATGAGTTTCCATATCCACCTGTCAAGGCAGCAGCTTGTCCCATTGTGTCAATCATAGCCTGTTTACCCTGATTGATATAGTTATCCTTGTACTGTTGATATAGCATATCACCGTTGAGATCATAGGTAAATTTCTGCCTGTTAGCAATCTGATCAGCAAGGTTATTACGCATTTCACCGTACTTACCGCCATCCCATTCACCCGGTTTATTTTTGTTTATACTCTGCCAAGAGTTGTAAAGTCCTTTTACTTTACTGCTCTCGGTATAGTCCTTGTTATACTCATCCTTCTTTTTCCTTGCATTGGCAAGAGAAGTGCTTCCCTTAAAATCTGCCATAACTATCATCCTCGTTTATTTTTCGTTCCAAGTTATCTGTGAAGCTGAACTGTTTTTGTAGCCTGTGAAAAGTCTTCCGTCATTCGATATCAGAAGCACGATATAAGGCTCATCGACAAGTAATATTGCTTTACCTGAAGTCACATCGTCAGGAAGGTTAAGAAGGTCATTAACATTCTTAACAAGCCTCATTTCTGCTCCTGTTATCTCAATACTATCTGTCTTGAATGTGCCGTATTCGATACTGTTAGTCTTATTACCTGTCGAGTCAAAGAAGAGAACATTATCATTCACGAATCTCACATAAGGTATAAAGTTTCCTTCAGTATCTTTGTGACACAATTCAACTCCGTATACAGGTGTATCGTCTATCTCATAATACAGAACACCGTATCGTATATATGAATCCTGCAAAGCTAACCTATCTTCAATAGTATTCTTGAATGTATCGAAGGCTGACAGGCTTGCATATATAGCATCGTTCTTCGGTTTCATTTTATTGTAGTATGCGTTAACTATATCTTTAGACTTGATGATAAGACTTTTTATCTCGCTGAAATTCGCAACAACAGTATTCTCCGACTTGTCCGTTTTGGCTTCATTTTTACCGCTGTTTTTGATTTCTTCGGCAAGTGCATCATTAACCTGTTGAAATTCAGATAAAGCAAAGTTCAACTGTTCTACCAACTGATACAGATAACTTTGCAGCTGACTTATTCTCTGTTCAGTTGTCTGCCCGGTTATATATGGCAACCGCAGATCCATCATCACATATCACTTCCCTGTGTAAAAACTCTTGTCATTGAATATATCTTTGCATCTCCTTCACCTTCTATACGAAGTCTGAAGTGATCGCACCTGTGTGGCTTTATCGGTACGGAGAATGTTCTCAAAGTTGTATAAGACATCGTACATGCATACTCCCATTCTCCACAGGAATCATACTGTATAAAGAATCTTACCTTGCTTCCTTCAGCGAGAGACATCCTCACAAGCATCCGTGATATTGTTTTCTTGTTTGGAAGTATCATTCCTATGATGCCTGTCTCTGCCATCCAATTGACAGGCTTGCTATCTTTCGTTCCTGTGCCGTTTATTGTGCGTATATATTTTGATTTGCTGTCTATATAGTACACCTCATCATCATATACACAGAATGAATCCACCTGAATCTCATCCTCTTTGCACCATATCTGCCTGTTGGTGTCATAAACAAACAGATGATATACACCGTTCTTATCCTTCATATTGAGATAATATTTGCCGTTGTAACCGCATCCTTTTGCTTCGGTGTACTGCTCATCCCCGAAAGCAAGTGATATCTCGGCAGGAAGAGATCCATCATAAGCAAGCACATCGTGTTTGCCTTTATAGTACAATATTTCATTTACTATGTTAAGGGAGTCCGAAGAACCCTTCTGAACACCACGGCAAGCAGTTGTCTGTATCTGATAGTTCGCAGGATACTGTCCGTATATTTTATGTACAACATTCTCTTTGAAGAATAAAGGATAGCCAAGATAGGATATAGCTCCTGTCCACTCACCATCTGTTCCGCAGGATGCTATATAACTATCTTGCGAAGTCCCCATAAAGCAAGACCAATTCCGAAAGTCACCAAGCTTTGATGCATATATCTCGTTTACGAATTCTCCTTTGTTGTTCTCTCCGTATCTGCATCCCCATATACGGTTATTACTTTCGCAAACAAAGTCCATATCTGGCATTTTGCGTGATACAGTAATAGGTCTGCTGAATTCAGCAACATGGTCAAGCATACCGATAATGACGATATAATCATCATCTCTTGCCCACACCACGAATGATCCGTCAATCTTGTCAAGGTCTTCTCTCTGTGTATTGTCCTTAAAGCCTGAAATATTAACACCATCATACTGCTTGAAGTCTTTGCCGATATTCGTTGCTTTGATTTTTATGTATGTGGTTAACACTGTTATCCACATACCACTCGTTGAAGAGAATCTTTTTAATGTGTGCGGATCTGCCGAAGTATCTATCCAATAATCTCCGTTCTCTCTCTCATCCTCTGTAGGCTCTGTATCCTGCGTGAATTTAACAGTAATTGCTTCTCCGTCAATTCTTGCAAGCTCTAATTCAACTGTATCTGTTGTTGTGATCTCCGTCTCTATATCACCTTTATCTGTCAAATCAGCAGTATTGATATACTTTTTATCAGGCAGAATAACTATATACGCACCCATACTTACAAGAGTCTTTTTACTTGAAGTATCAAGATTCATATCAATTCTCTGATCACCGATGTAAATATATCTTCCATTAACATAGCAGAACTTATCCTTTACTATCATTCCCAATGGTTTTGATGGCTGTTTGAATGTGCCTCTTCTCGCTCTCGGTGAAAGAAGCGGATAATATGACGAAGTAAGATTTCGCATATCATAATATTCACCTGTGTTAATGCGAAGATTATGATTGTATCCACCGAATACTTCATCAACTTCCTGCTGCTGCTCAAGTTCTATAACTTCAGGTAATCTCATTCAATCACCCCTTAAAAGAAATTAAAATGCTTGCCTAACGGCATATGATGTCTGTTGTAGAATGTTTCAAACGAACTGAACTTCGCATTAAACATCTGCATACTGTTATTGTATTTCGTGTATTCTCCGTTTGAATAATCTATATAAGCTTCCATAAATCTTATATAAAGGTCATCGTAAGGAGAACCTACTATCAGTTCCTTGTTTATATCCGCATCTGTGTATTCCCCGGAGAACTCAATATTTTCTCCATCTTTATGCGTATCAATGATTTCTCTTTTGATTCTGCCCTCTACTTCAGATAACCACTTCAGCTTGTCTGCTTGTGTATATGTATTAGGTTTCTCATTATCCACAATGTTTATTGCCTGAATTATTGTCATAATTTCACCTTCTAAAAAAGCCACAACTGAATTGTGGCTGATTTATTTTCTGTTTAATTTTAATTTGAGTTCATCTGCTTGAAAGCTTCTCTTCTCTCATAAGCAATCTGCTGCATTTTTTCAGAATGAGTTATCTGCTCCATAACACACTTGGGAACAGTAACAGGCACACCTCTTTTTATCAGCCATGTTCTTTCGTTAACGGACACATATTCCGTAGTTCTCGCACCGGGAATAACAGGAAGTTTTATTGTTACTTTAGGCTGTTTGTCAATAGGATCAATATAGATATCTTCTTCTTCAACAACTGAAGGAACTGTTTCTTTTTTTGTTGCCATTTGTTTTTTCTCCTTTTTCAGGGAGAGCAGTTGCCCACTCTCCCCTTATTAAATTAGTTAGCTTTAGCAGCTTTGGAATATCTCTTGGAGCAGGATTCGATTCTTACCATATAGTTGGGAACGAGGATCTCCGCTGTTTTTGTTGCCTTCCAACCGACAGAGGATCTCTGATCGAGAGGATCGGCAGTACCTGCAGAACCTTTCTGCTTTACCATAGTTTCGAGACCACCACCTGTGATGTCTGTTACACCGTAAGCATCAGCACCAAACATAAGTGTGCCGAATACTGCGAGACCATTTTTACCACCTTCACCGGGATAAATAACAGCATTGTCAGCACAGGTAACAGCTGTATCAACTGTGATAGTTGTAGCTGTGTTTGCTGTAACTTCTGCATGTGTGCCGTTGATGATAACTTCTCTGCCGACAAGAGCATCAGCTTCAACAGTACCGCCATCGAATGTGATAGTTGTAGCATCTGTGTAGCCTGCAGCGTTATTAACGGCAAGTGTCACGGAATCGGAAGCAAGGCTTGCACCCTTGTAGATTTTTGCTTCGGTGGATTCAACGAAACGGCAACCACCGACTCTGCCGATTTCACCTGAATAGATGTTCTCGGAAGTTGTGTACTTATGTGCATCTACCCATTCAGGATCTCTGCGGAGATCGTAGGATACATAAGGATGGATGATTGCTACATAGTCACCGTTTATCGTAGGTGTGTTGTTTGCACGAAGCTTTGTTACAGCCTGATTGATTTCGTCAACCGTGAGCTGACAGTTTTCGTCAAGGTCATAACGAGAGAGAACTTCTGTTTCAGTACCGCTTACAACCTTGTGAGCATAGTTAACATTTGTGCCTGTGTGAAGGATGTCTCTTACAATAGTATCAATAGTGAGTCCTGCCTGTTTACCAAGAAGCTTTGTTGCTTCAAGGATAGTGTTATCAAGTGCAGTAAGTTCAAGCATATCACTCTGTACAATGTAGTAACCATACTGCTCAACTGTAGCAGTAATGGTGGAAACATTCAGCTGACCGCCATCAGGTGTAACACCTTCGGTTAAAGGTGTTGTAGCTTTGGGAAGGTTTTCAAACTTACGGAATTCAATCGTTTTACCACCGTTTTTGGGGATAGGTCTCTTCTGACCGAACTGATCGTGAACAAGATTTGCTCCTGCTTCATCGATAAGTGTCATGTCATAGAAGGTCTTCATTTCAGGCGAAAGTTCGTTGCCTGTTGTAGCTATAGTGTCAGTTGTTCTGTTGATGTTCATGTTAGCAAAAAGCTGAAGATTGATGAACATCATAAAAAATGTTTTAAGTGCTTTCATATTTTTTTTCTCCTTGTATTTTTGTAATATTGTAAGGAGAAATCAAAGATCAGAATCTTATCTTTTCTCCTCTTGCGACTCTTCGGATTATCTCCTGTCTGTCGGCTTTAGAGAGTTGTGACACATCACTCTTATACATAACAGATCCCTGATCATTCGTTCCGTTTTCCGAAGGTCTTCTGCCGTTTGCTGCAATCTTGTTTGAAATCTTCTGTTCAACTGTCTGTGCAGTAAACTGCATTGCACCTCTGATAATGTCATCCTTATGTAAAACTTCGTACGCAGTTCTGACATCGACATTATTACGGAGTAAGTTGACGAACTGTGGATTCTGCATTTCGGCATCAAGGTCAAAGGAAGGATAAACATTCTTTGTAGCATCAGCCTGTGATAACCAATTCTGATACAAAGCATTTGCTCTTTCCTGTGTTTCCTGCTCACGCATCTGCTGTTTTAATGCGGAGTTCTCTCTTTCCATTCTGCGGATCTCTTTTAACTGATCAACTGTAAGACCTCTCTCAAGTGCTTCTTCCTCGAAGAAGCTGTCATCGTCTTCAATTGCCTTTGTTAATCCTGCAATGTCATCTGCGTTCACATTGTATTTGTTAGCAAGAATGTCAAGAAGAGGAAGAGTGCTTCTGTATCTTTCTTCCGTATCCTTTGAGTTTTTCAGCCTTTTTTGAACAATGTTCTGAATTCTTGCATCATCGAGATCCTTGTTGTTTTTAATAAAATCATCATAGGCTCTCTGCCTGTTTGCAATATCATCAGCATCGTTGTTCTGTGCATCGGTGGTCTGCACATCATCCTGCTTACCGTAAACTACATCGGCAAGAGGATTACTTTTTACACCCTTGTTATTTACGGTGGGGAGTCCGCTTACACCCTGTGCTTCTCCTGAACCTGTGCCACCATCTCCGGCAGCTGCATCTGCAAACAACTGAAGATTAAGTTCAATAGTAATTTTTGATTTCTGCATAAATAAATCCTTTCTGTCATTTGTGGCTGACGAAACCTCTATCGTATCTGCTGTTACGCAGTTCCGAACCTTGTTAATTTAACATATTCAGGAAAGTTCTTTTCAAGTAAAGCAAAGCCTATCTGTGCAACAGAGTATGTATGCAAGGTTTCTGCATAGGCATCCCTTCTCGGCTTGCATACTATAAGTGCATCACCTTCGTGCATTTCTATCGTAGGCTTCTCCTTTAACTTGTCCTGTTTTTGTAAGGTAGTAACTATCTGTGCGACGGTATACGCAAGAATTGAAGCGGAAGCACATACTATATCCTGTCCCTTTTCAGCCATTCCTGCATGCCCATCGACTTTTAATATTAAATTGCGTTTATCTTTCGTAAAGCAAACATTTATCATATCGTATCCTCTTATGTCGGAGAAGTTGACTCTGCAACTCTCTGTCTTGCTTTTTTTGTTGTAGGTGCTTCCTGTCCTTCAGGATTACCTAAAGAGTCATTCTGCGGAACTCTCGCATCCTGTCCTTCTGCCGTAGGCATCGGCATACCGAACTGTGACATAAGTCCCTGTGTTACTTCATCTGATCCGTGTGCATTGTCAACCATCTGACCTAATGCAAGCATCTGCTGTTGCATCTGCATGAGCATCTGATACATAGTACCGTTCTGTGCTATCTTCTGCATCAGTTGTTCCTTTCGATCAAAGTCCATCATCTCAAGACATAATAAAGCCTGATCCGACATCTGCGGATTAAAGAATCCTAATCCATAGAACTGCAATGCAAGTTCGTTCTGACTCATCTTCGAATACGGACTCTGCTTCTGTGCTGTGACTTCGATATCAAACACAGGTATCCTGAATCCCATATCGATACCGAATTCCATACCACCCTGATCCTGTGGCTGAATACCTTCATTGGAGTATGTAACATACTGATACATACCTCGTTCACCGATGATCCTGAACTTTCTCGGTTCATTATAAAATTGTCTTATAAGCTCTATAACATGCATACACAGTTCACGGAACACTCTATAAGAAGCCTTGATAGCATCTCTCGATAACTTGCTTCCTGCTTCCTGCATAGCAGCAATTGCCGATGCTGCCGTGACACCTGATGTTGTACCGCCTGTCTGTATATCACGGTTACCTGTGACTTCCTTCAGCTCATCTATCTTGTTATTGATTACGGTAACATATATATCGTTTAATGGTTTGCCCTGAATCGGAAGTATTGAATCTTGTCCAAGATTGCTGTCAACATGCACAAAGTCTTTTGTGATGTCGGCATACTCTTCCTCGTTGACAGAACCGTCACTTCGTATAAAATGTCTCGGTCTTGTGTTCGCAAGCATATTCTCAAGTATGCTCTGACTTCCTCTGTCAATATATTCCTGTGCATTTTTACCGACATCTATGTAACCGAAGCCTGTCGGAGTGCCTTCTATCGTGAACAGAGGATCAAATATAAACGGATACTTTCCGTGATCATACCAACCTCTTTCAGCCAATTCAGGCTCATTCTCCGTTGCAAACAAGACTTCATCGTTTACATACTTGACATAATGAAGTACGGTCTTTCCTGCGGAATTCTGTCTCTTGTAATACCAATCTATCACGGCAGATTTGTTTGAAGTGTCAACACTATCATCATAGTTATACTTTGCCGTTTCAATCGTTGATGTACCTAACTTGCCCTGAAGTTGAGGATATCTCTGTATCAGCATATCATTGTCAGCAAGTTCAACATTGAATATGTTGCGTGACTTCTGTATGTCTGTGATACCGCTTTCCCAAAACAGATTAAGGATATCAATCTTTCGGATAGCTATGTCACCTAATCCGTTCATCTTACTGCTATCCCAAAAGACTCCGTACACTCCTGTGCCTGTCTTCAGCTTATAGTTCCATACCCTGTCATATACTTCTTCAAAGTCATTCTCTTCAAGCACAACAGGAACAATGCTTGAAAGCATCTCTGCTTCAGCTTTATCTCCTTCTTCACGAGGAAGTATATTCGGAGACGGAAAGTTATCCATTGCATCAGCATGCTTGTTTGCTATACAGTTGAATAACCATCCTGAAGAAGGCTGTACCTGTCTGCGTTCTTTACTTTGCAGACATTCCCAATGCCGTAATTTGTACCATTGCTCATTCTCTACAATTTTGCGTTCAAGATTGGCTTTGCCTTCCTTATACTTCATCAGGATGTTGGTAGCCTTTTGAACTTGCTCTCTGCCTATCGGTAGTTTCAGAGCTGCTCTGCCGTTGATAACTTGCTCATTATCCATAGCAGTATTCATCATTTCCTGCTGATTGATTTGGTTATTAACATAATCTTCTGCCGTAGGTCTTGGAGCAGATTGCCTACGCATCATCTGTTCTTCAAGACTCGGCTTCTCATCGTCTCTCTTAATTGCCATTGTCAATTATCTCCATTTTTGGTCTTGCTGTTCTTTTTGTTGCTATATCCTGTTTATCGATATCAAGATAAATATGCATCGGATTATCCTTGAATTTATCCTCGGCAGGAGCAATTCTCGGTGCTATCGGTCTTGACATTAAGAAGTATCTGAAAGCATCTGCGATATGATCCTCACCATCAGTATCAAGGTCTTCAGGCTTATGCTCATCATATAAGAGCAAAGGAATAGTTCTTATGAAGTGCTTGCAAGTATTAAACACATAGAACATAGGGAAGCCATTCTCATCGAAGGCAAATCGGTAATGACATTGCATCCATCCGGGAATGCGTTTGTTGTCACCTTTATTAAAATATACCTGATTCTTTGCAGCTACATCAGCAACAGACTCACCGCTTTCCGCATCCCATATCGCAGGATCTGCGATGCCTGTTATCTTTTTATTCTTCAGCCATCGGTGTTCTGTTTCTATCCTGTGTATCTCGCTGAACACTTTCTGTGGTATCCACTTAATACCTTCATTCGGTGTCTTTGTGCATCCGTATAATTCCAATATGTGATATATCACTCCGTCAGGACTCACGGCAAACCACATGCAACTGAAAGGCTTGTTGTACCCCCAATCGAAGCTTCTGCCTATAGTCCAATTTGATGGTATCTCAAAAGGCTCAATAACATGCGTATACTGTCTGTCCGTATAGTGTTCAGGTCTGTCACAAAAGTCCTCGAAGAACTGCCCTTCATATATATCCCACGATCCATACAGCCATCCTTCTCTCAACTTCGGTGGAAGTGCCATCAACTGCTGATAGTATTCAGGCTGTGACTCCATAAGTACTGCATTGTCGGTAACAAGACTCTGTATGAACTCATAGTCATCTGCGTTTTCTCCGTCTTCATACCTTTTGTCTACGAATAATCTCTTGATATATCCGTGACCTTGTCCACCCGGATTACATGTGTAATAGATTCTTTTCGGATAACTGTTGACACCACGGCAGCAAGCAACAATTGACTTCATCTGATATTCACTCAACTGTGTTGCTTCATCCAAGAATATTACATCGTATTCCGAACCCTGATACTGCTCCAAGTCACCGTCATTGGCACAATATCCGAATTTAATAGTACTTCCGTTCTGAAACTTAAACACCTTTTCAGACTTATTGTACTTCGCAATGTTGTGCAGTTCTGTTATCAATGTATTGATATGGTTATTGAGCAGTTCAGGATAAGTCTTTCTTATTATCAATAACTTGATCCCCGGATACCGCAATGCAAGAAGTTTTGCTTTTGTTCTTACTGCCCAACTCTTTCCCCCACCTCTCGCACCGCCAAAGGCAATATGCTTTTTCTTTGCAAGCAGGAACTTTGCCTGTTTAGGATTCGGTGTGTCAATTATCAGTTCAGGCATTATTCTTCCTCACTTTCCTCGTCTTTTTCATTTGTTAAAGAGTGATTAGTGAAGAAATGCATTTAAGCTAAATGTTTTTGATATCAACATCATTATTGCCATTCACATATATAACAATCTGATAATATTTCATGGCTGAAATTGTGTCAAACTGAATATAATTACCGCTTGAGTTAATTGTTACATTATTAAATTCAATTATTGTGCCTGTACCGCTTACAACTACAACCAACTTAACATTGCTTCCGCTTTCGATTGCTTCTTTAATATTATCGTAATCAGTAGTTAAGTTCGATATTGTTACCATGGTTTCAGAAGTCATCGTGAGGATGCCACGAACAATGAAGTCCACATCTCTCTGCTTAAATGTTGCTTCATCTTCGGTAACAAGAACTGTTGCTTCAACATTGCCGAGTCTTGCGTAAAACTGAAGTCCATCTTCATCTGTATCGATTCCTGTGTACATCAACTTGCCGACAACAGAAGTATGACCTGTTTCCTCTTTTTCATCCGCAAAAGTAACATTGATAACTGCAAGATTACTTTTATCTTCTGTGACGAACTGCACCATATCAAGATATACACTTGCAACCTCAAGTTCAGTTCCGTCTGCATCGACAAATCTGTTTGTCTCATCAACAACAAGTGTATAATATTTAATAGGCTTATGTGTCAATTTATCATAGTCTGTGGTTCCACCGCCTGCACCTTTTGCCATAATATATGTAAGAATATCAAAAGCCATATTTTACACCTCTACATATTCATTTTCACTTGCATTCAGAATATAAGCAGAACCTGTTTCGCAACAGATAACTGCACTTCCTGCAGGATAATTCAGATACATGCTATCAGGATGGTTCATTCCAACAACATCCGCTTCAGTATCAGCTACAAATACAGTCTTAAAATATGTGCCGTCTTCAGGTATTCTTCTTTCAACTCTCTTATCTACTTCAATTGCTTTAATCATTTTTTATTCTTCCTTTCACGATGATTGAATTATAGTATTTACAGGCTCAACAAGATATGTACCGCTTACTTTGAGAATTCTGACATTTGCCGGACCTGATATAATATTGTTCATTATCGCAACAGAATCTGATACATATACTGCTATTGCGTTTATATTATTTATGCTATTTAATTTTACCATATTGTTATAAACAAATATTTCAGATGTTGAATTGAATATGCAGCCGTTGCCTTCTATTATTGTATTGTCAGCAATATTAACTTTGCCACCTGCACTTGTTGCTGTGTCACCTACCGATATTGCTCTTCCTGAAGTTGCTATTCTGTTATTACATATATCAATTATTCCTGATGTTACAATGTGAATACCATTATCCTCCGAATCAACTCTGTTGCCTCGAAAAATAAAATCAAAATTTTTCGCCTTTGTCCCTGCCGATGTTTCAACACAATAACCATTAGATATCAGGTCGTTGTCTGTAATCGTTATCTTGCCGTAACAAGCTTCAAGTGAACTTGTCAAACCAATGCATTTACCTGTATTATTTGTGATTTTATTATTGCATATCTTGCAATTAAAATCTGCATTTAGACCTCTTACAAATATCGTAGCATCGTCACTTGAATTTACTATGATATTATCAGATATAACTATATTTTTGTTATAAACCTTGATGTCATAATTTGTTCTGTCGGATACAAGAACAGCAGAAACTGTCATATTTATAGCAGTACTTTTGCATATATTATTTTTTACGACAGCATTATCAACACCATTCAGACGGATAAATGATTTTGAATCGACACTGTTATTAATTATATTGTCAGATATAAATATATCTTTTGCAATTTTTCCTCTGTGCCAATCACCATATGTAGAAATAACTCCGTCATCAAGATAACTATTTATTGCACAATCCACACAAGTGTTGTTTGTTATTCTTGCGTTTATCACTTCAAAAAATAGTTCAATCGCAGCAGAACTGCCGATATTTTCAAAATAACAATTAGTAACAGTAATATTCTTGATTGCAGAATTTTCATTGGCAAAGGCGATACCGCATCTGCCAATTCTGTTATTTATGACAGAACACCCTTCAAAAACAGAATCACTTGACTCACAAACGACAACACTCCATCGAATCATTTGTATTGTCTTCTGCATTGAAAGTCACATTTTTGCAATAAACACTCTTCTTAAATCTGATTCTTTGACAGTATAATACAGCTCCGTCATTACCGATAATATTAACTGCCTTAGCAACATCTATATTATTTGTTAATTTATATTTGCCGGTAAGATAAACCAAGGCATAATCAGATATGTTATTAAACATATCATTGAAGGCTTGCGTATCATCAGTCACTCCGTCTGCAACAGCACCAAATTGCTCAGGAGTAAACACATGTTTCACATTATCATTTACATACCAATCTTTCGTATTGTCATTGAATTCAAGGATACCAAGTCCGTTTGCGGTCATAATATTCTGAAGAATATGATCATTAATAAGTACAGACAAGCAGTGGTATCAACGCAGAGTACTCTTCAGGTCTGATATAACCTGTATCCCTGTAGAGATATTTAGTTCTTACAGACATCTCATTATCATGTCTTGTATCAATAAGTGTCTGTATAATTGAATATACATTGCCGTTTTGACGGTATGTCGATTCAACTCTCAATGCATATCCTGTGCCTTTGTTTTTTTGGTCATTCAATGTATTCCTGATCCACACAGGAAGACCGCCTGTAACATTCGATGTAAGATAATATAATCCGTCTCTGTGAAGATTATCTATGTTAGTTATGCCAAGATCCGTAACAAGATTACCTGTCCATTCTGCGTTTGAAACTGCCCCTAAATCAGGTCTGCATATAAGACATATATAGTCCTTGTTGCGTTCTAATGTTCTATTATAAAGAACAGGATCGCCTGTCGATGCTTCTATAGTTGGATGTCTGTATCGATGAAGACCGATATACTCAAAATGATCAGGATTAAATTTACCTGTATGATCCGTGATGCACCTATACAGACCTTCTGTTATTCCCTTGTCAGCATCAGCATACAAATAACAGTAATTGCCTACCGTATAAGTCTTTGTGATGTCGAAGTTCTCGTTATATATCTTGTTTACGCAAATAGATACATGAGATATCTTCATATATCTCTTCGGCTGTACCCATTCACCGTTTTTATTCTTCGCATAGAAGATGATGTCACCGGGCTCAACATCAATAAAGGTCTCGTCATAATCTATCTTCAAACCTTGCTCAACCATCATCTGACCAAGTTGAGCTGCTGTTCTTACAACCTTCTTTTTTGATGTTTCGGAAGGATACATGTATTCAGCAGGATTTGTTGCCCAAGCATAATCATTCTTATTTGCAAGCACAGTTCTCGGTGAGAACTTCTCGCCTTCTTCGGAGTTAGAATCCGAAGTACCACCGTCACCGCCATCTGTTTCTTCAGGAATATCAGCCTTATTATATAGTGATTCATAAGGACTTTTTTCAAGCGGAATACCTCTCAAGCACAATCCTATAAATGTAGAGCAGTCAATATCATTTCCTGTCGCAGGATCAAATCCATCGTCAAGGCATGTTTCATCCTGACCGTACACAAAGTTATAACCTGTCTCGGCAGAACCTCTCTTGCGATAATAACTTCTCGCAACATCAACTATCTGTGCAGTACAGATCTGCGAATTTTTTCTTTTCGCATCTGCTGTGGATATCGTTCCTTCAGCTATACCCTTTGCAATTGCCTTTTCGTACATCGTAGGCTCATCCGTGATCCTGTTCTGCGTATCCTCATCCAAAATGACATCCGAAATATAAAGATTAAATCTCGCAGATGTGAGAACTCTTATCTGCTTTTCCTCATCAACTGCATATATCTTACATTCGCATTCAACAATACCTAATTGACTTGTAGCCTGTCTCGGAATATCAATTGTTATTCTGTTGTCTACAATCGTTGCTTCACGATCCGACACAGTTCCATCCGGCAAACGAAAAACAAATTGTGCTGCTATTCCGTATTTCTCGGTATGGAACTTGTATACATCGGAATCGCTTGAAAAGGTGATGTGAATGGTGTGAGAAAAATCTCTGTTTCTGATTCTGATCAGATGCTGACTCTGATCATAATAGTTATCTAATATTAAGTTATGTACAATGTTCATAATATCTCCTCTGTTTGGCAGAGTAATCAGGAGTTGAACCTGAACTGTGAGAGTCAAAGTCTCATGTTCTACCATTAAACTATTACTCTGAATAATCCTCCGCAGATCCTTTGATAATGACTTTTATTTCTTTATCTTCTGCTTCAGCTTCTGCCTGTTTCCTTAAATTCTTTATCCTTGCTTCCTGTTCCTGAATGTCTCTGTCACTCTTTACATGAAGTGCATCTTCAAGATCCTTGATAGCTCCTGTTATATCCTTTGGTTTTACTCCAAGTGCAACAAGCTGTTCAAGTGTGTAAGACCGTGTCAAATTCGCAAGATCCTGTGCTACATTGAATGCAAGTTCATATAATGCAGACCTGTAGTCAACTGCTTGTTTCTCTGCATTTTCAAGGCTTTTTGACTCTATTCTGTCAATATACTGTTTTTTTTGCTCTACCCATTTATCTTTCAAAGCTCTTTGTTGAATTGTATGGAAAGGTAAATTATACTTCGCAGCCAATTTACGATATGATGTGCGTTCAGTAATGTATTCATTTTTTATCTCTGTCCAATTGGTATCAGTATTCTTCTTGGCTGCCATCTGTACTCCTCTCCTTTTTGTCTTATCATAACAATAACAAGGTGATAAGTTAATCCACCCTATCAGCCACCAATTTTTTACTCTTCTGATTGATAACAAAATACTTGTATGTTATTATAAGAAAGTTGTCTTCTATAAAAAAGAATTATTAGAATATAGCAAATCGATAAATAAAGGAGTTTTTTTATGAATCTTAAAGAATTACTGAACAAAATTGACAAAGATAGTTATGTTCTTCTTGAGTGCTATGAACCGATATTCAGCAACAATGATAACAGAGCATTCGGTTTTTATGCAGACTACATCACTTCTGTAGATCCTGATGCAGACAGAGAAGTTATCACATATGCCCTGAAAGATGAGGAAGATTATTCCACAACAATCATGAGTAATACACCCTTTTCCGCAGACTTTAGTGAATTATCAAATGACAAGAATGCAAAAGTTCTTTGCGTTCTTTTGAAAATCTGAAAACAAAAAAGAGAGGACTCAACATCCTCTCTCTTTTTTTATACTTCTTCGACAGTAATATTAAAAAGATATCGCATCAGTTTTCTTTTAATTACGAACTTCGCATATCCTGCCGATGATGTGTCTCGATATCCTTTTACATCCTCAACTACAACTTTTCTTTTCTCGTTGTCATAGTAAACAAAGTCAGCAATATAGTTACATGCTCTCTCGATTACCTTGCCATTCTCGTCTTTTTGTGCAGGAATCAATACATATTTCTTCTGAAGTTCAAGGTCTTCAATTATGCCCTGTTTTTCAAGGATTTTCAGCTCTGAATATCTCTTTGCTTCCTTCTGTGAATCGAATTGAATTCCGTCAACAACTATCTTTTTGTTACCGTATTTACGATATGTAGAATGTATCATAACTTACCTTCCTTTTTTATCTTCTCAATAAATTCAGGATTCCATCCGCATTTCTCACAGGCATTACGATTTGTGCATGCGATACCGGGATTACTCGGCTGCTTAATGCAAGGCTTTGGCTTTGTACTCATAGCTATCATCTCCTTCCTCTTTGTATTCAGGGAATTTCCGTAACCAATTCCGTATTTCTTCTGTTGACCTGAAAGCATACTTTGTCATATCTTTTTTGGTTTCTTCAGAATCTATATCAACAATTACTTTCATTTTTCAAATCTCCCACAATGACACTCCCCTGTCTCCTGCTCACGAAATTCCTTACAAGGACATATTGTGTCCTCGCTCTTCTCAATAGCACAAGGACAGTAACCACCATTGGCTTTAACCAACTCACCGATAAAAGGCTTAATTTCTTTTATGTTTTCCATTTGCATCTCTCCTTTCTTTATGATCATCAATTCTATCCATTATTTCATTCTCAAGATCTCCGGCAAAGATGATTGCGAATGCAAAGAATATGTATAATAAAATTGCACCTATCACAAAAAGAAAAGCTATCATTATTCGCATCTGTCAGCCTTTCCCATATAAGATCCAAGAATAACAACAACAATAATCAATACCGTGATGAATCCGATTCCGATTAATTCTGTCATTTGCTCTGCTCCATTTTCCTGCCACATTTCGGACAATACGGCGACATAATTCCACGCATCGGTTCATACTTACAGTTTGAACAATACGGATAATACCCATCGGAGCAAATTATCCAATGTGCGATTTCAGGCTCTGCTTCCTTTACAGGCTCTTTCTTCTCATCGATATCACCCATAAATTCCTTGCAATCAATTCCGATGATTTTCAAAAGCTGCTCATACCTTCTGATTTTAGAATGCATTATAGAATTCTCTCTTAATAGTTCAAGCTGTTCAAGACTATCCATTTTAATCACTCCTTATAAATCCATCTTTCTTTTCGTGCCTTTTCTTATGACATTTTAGACATAAGGTTATAAGATTTTCTGGTTCATCACTACCGCCATTACACACAAAGTTTATGTGATGAACATTCAAATTTCCGTTGTCGATTGGTAAATATATACCGTATTCATTTTTGAATGCGTTAAATTCGCCACAATCTTGACAAGTAAAATTATCTCGGTAGAGTATTCTTAAAGAATATGCATCCCGACCTCTATTCCAAACGGTGCAGTTATTAAATTTTAGGCTATGATCGTCGCAACAAAATGATG